TTGTATTCGTTATATAATAGGAGTTAAATGTTTGAGCGAAAGGTTCAACGGTTCAGACAGACATCCGGAGTCCGTCAAAACAGTACTTTTATTTTAATTAAATTTCTTTTTTCTCCAAACCCAATAAATATTTGATTATCAATTCAATGTATTTATTTTTTTATATTTATTTCTGTTAATAATTTTTACGAATTATTCATTAGGAGTTGAAATAAGTACTGAAAACTATTAAATATTGAGTGCATTCATAGATCAAAATCATTAAAAAATATTTCCAATGAAATGAATACATAACTAGTAAACAATTATTGTTTTTCACTAAACTATTGATTATAATTTTATGTTTACTTATTTAATACATAAAATTACATATACGACAAAAAAGGCAAACATTTAATTGAATTAATATTTGGTTTGAACGAATAGCTGGCATGTGTTGGAGTGCCCCCAATGGCAACGGCCGGTGCACTGATTTACTTAAGACTGGTGTGACTGAAGACGAGTGCTGTAATGGTGCCGATAGTACCAATTCAGGCATCACTTCCACCGCTTACAGCCAAGACCTGGACAGCGGAAAGTTGTTTTATTACCGGGCATTGAGAGGTGGAGTTCCTTGTAGTCAATGCAAATGTAAGCCAACAGAATATATTTTCACCATATTTAGCATCACCGAATTCGAGGCCTCTAATCTACATGCATACATATACACCTCCAATATACAACATATATACCGTAAAATGACATTGATTTGCCGGTAGTACTAATATTAAATCAAGTTTAAATATGATTCCTTGTAGTTTTGTAGTAAAAATATAAGTTTAAGTTTGTAAGTTTTAGGAGTGAGAGTAATCATATGTAAGTAGTATATTTCTATATATTTCTGTATATTTCTTGATTAGAAAAATCATATTTTAACTTGATGTGATTTACCGGTAAAACTAATGTCATTTTATACGGTATATACGTTGTATGTGAACACCTGTAGATTGGAGGCCTCCAATTCCGTGTTTAGCAACAATTCAATTAATAATCATAAAAATATTTCTTTTAATTGACTTATATTGAAATTTTAAAATTAATTTCTTATATTAAAATTATTTTATGTTAATATTTTTGTTGAAAAAATCCTTGAATTCAATTTGGGGAATAAACCGAATTTATAAACTCATATAAAACTCGAGTAAATATTGTTTTTATACAAATGAAAACATAAATTAATTTTTAAAAGGAATTTTACGATAATATATTCAAATTATTCAATCAACACATTTCAATAGTAATTCATGTGATTTTGAAAGTTGTTGTTAAATTTTTATTGCATTTATCGCAACTAAATATCAAATATTTCTATTTTTGTTTGATATTCATTGAGAAGAAAACTTGGAGTGCTTTATAAGGGGGCAGACATTTGCTCGAAATTTTTTTATTTAATTCCGAATAAAAATTCCGAATAATATTATTTCTTAAGTTAATATGAGTTAGTTTAGGTTAAGTTAAAATAGTTAATTCTACAATTTAAGTTAGAGCAAGTGTCGTTTGAGCAAATGTTTTTCGAGCGTGTGATACACCCCTTTATAATAGTGGCCCCAATGTATGGGCGATATATAAAAGATATTGAGCCCATTATAAGGCAATTGACGGACATTTCATTTGCCATTAAATTTAATGAATAGATAGTAGAGTTTAAGTGAATTTCACGTCCGATTAAATTAATTTATGTATTCGTATTGCATTGATAGCCACCTGTGAAGGCATCACATGCGGCACTGGGAAGACATGTGTGGTTAAGGCTGAGGGCCAACCCGTTTGCATTTGCGCCCCTAAATGCTCGCGAAGGAAACGAAAACTCGGACCCGTTTGCGGTCAGTATTATATAATTTCTCAAATATACAATGAGTTAATCAATGTTTGCATTCAAATCAATAGGGAGTGACGGACAGACATATCGACACATTTGTAGACTTTTGAAGCGTAAGTGTCGTAAAGATCCCACGCTTACAGTTGAATACTATGGCAACTGTAAAGGTATGGTATTTAACAAATATTTCAACAAAATTTAATGGCAATGGATATTATATACGAGACATACAACCTCTGCATTCATTGCATCAAAAAAGTGGTTCATATCTATCAACCATCACATTATAGTAATATTTATATATCTATTGATTATTATTTATGATACTGTAGTAGATCTGAATTTAGTTGAAAAATTCTTAACAAACTTTTATGTACATTACTATTACTATGTTTTATTATAGATTTCTATGTATATGTATGTGCATTCTGTAACTAATCTATTACACTTAAATAATTTATTAAATTTTAAGTTTCACATTACATAATATAATGCAAGAGCAAAAAATAAATTTCTAAAATACTTATGCAATCACTTAATTATAAGGTTTAATACATGAATGATTGAAGCAATTTATTCTCATTCCTCAGCATAACTATAATCTCAATTAAAAAATGAACCCAAGAATGCGTTTTGCCATTCAGTTATGTACTGCTATATAACGTGTAAAACAATTTGCCAGCAATTAATTAGCTATGAATTGATTGAATATTTCTTTCTCTCTCATAACCTGAAGAGACATGCGATAGAGTCGGTTGCGTTCAGAGCAAGACATGTATATTAGACGATAACGCGAGGCCTCGTTGTGTGCGATGCCAGCAGTACTGCCCGCCCGTCACTCCCAATAGTCGTCCCGTTTGTGGTGCGAATAGAGTCACGTATTATAGTTATTGCCATTTGCGAAGGGCTGCCTGTCTGGCCGGTCGTGCCATTCAAGTCATGAATAGAAGACAGTGTCAACGTATGTATCCATTGTTTGCCCATTCTATGCACCCAATACTCATTGCAACAGTCATTGCAACAAAACACACAACTATTTCTCTGAATTTCTCGTATTTCTAGTTTTTTATAGCCAACCACTGGTGTACCCAATGGAGTACCCAATGGTGTAACCAATTGTACTTTTTTTATATCGCAAATCATTATATTTATAGAAAAGGAGTTTTATTTTTGTTTCGTTAAACTATGAAAATAATAGAGTATTGGATTCGATGAAAAGAAAAGAAAAAGAGGATAAAAACTCCTCTAAATGTTAGACTTATTTAGCATAAACTCAAGTGATTGCAGACTATTCTCATGTAATCGATCGATCAGTTGATGTCAAGACTCGCATTAAAAACTTATGAATTTTTCTCTTCTTCTTCTTCTTTCGTCTGCTGTTTGTCTGCATTTCATTCATGTTTTGAATTTGATTTGCGTTTTCTCCCAGTCCTAGACATTATCGCTTATATTTTGACGTAAAAATGAGTCCTTTTGTTAGCAAAATATACGAATAATAATTATATTTATAAAAATGATTGAACACTGAATCAAATCAAACAAGAAGAGCAAAAATAGATTTCGTTTCAGACTTTGACATAAAGTAATACATTTGTAGCGAATATTTTACAGACAAAGTCATGCGTTCTGTGAAAAAAATAACATTAAATCAAACATAAGTTTTGATTTTTTCGCGAATAAATTCTTGGCTTTCATTTCAGACATTAATTTTGTGTTTGTTTTTGATTTATAACTCAATTTGTTTTAAAGGAATTTATGAAACAATTACGAAAAAAATAATAGCAATTAGTCGACGAATATGTCTATATTTGTTTAACTAAATATATCACTAAATCAAAGTCAATATTTAGTATTTAGTCATTAATTTGAAAATAACTTATAAACTAACGTCAGTATAAGATTTAATGGCATTAATTTTGTTGTATTATTGATTGCAAAATCATATAAAAGTTTTGAACAAAAAAAATGAGACAATTTTTTATAAGGTATTTTCAATTCAATAGACTTTCCTAACGGATATACAGACAAGTCTGAAGTTTTTATATCGATTTTTTATGTCAACACATGTCTAAAAATAAAAAGGCTTACCTTTCAAAAAGTCTTGCATTTAAAGTAACCCTTTTTTGTATGAATTTTTTGTAACTTTTTTTTCGTCAAAACTATACCAAACGACCATTTCTTTCAAACAAATTCAAATATAAAAGATATTTTCATTCATTTAAATCCTATTCTTTGATTTTTGTCTACAAAAAGTTTTATAAAAAATTACTGTACGTTAAGTAGAAGTCACCCATCGATCCAGACTTTGGATGAAAAAATATTTTACGATACGATACAAACCCTCGCAATATGTCAAACGGTTTTTATAAAAAAACAATATAAAACAACTGAAGACTCGTTTTTATAACAAATTTAGTTAGGAATTGAAACCAAACACAAATCGGCATATTTTTATACAACAATTTTAAACTTACAATATTTTATGTTAGAATTTATTCCTACATTAATAATAGATGAGATGTGAAGTTACAAATAATATATTTTGTTATGTTAGTATACTTTACCATGATTATTATTGATAAATTCTCTTGTTAATATTGTAAATGAATACTGGTTGATAATTATAATTTTACCATTCAAATAAATCAGACAATTTTATAAAAGATTAAAAATAATATTCAATGGCAAATTATAACCAATTTGAAAATAACCCCAAATTAATTCAAAAATTAACAATAGAAGTTACAATAATTAACCATAAAGTCATAATATAGATAAATAACTAGTTACGTTACATTTGAAGTGGAAATGATCACAAATATTACAATATATCCAAACAAAAGTCATTATAATAAAGAGTTAATTCACATGATTTAACTTTTTCATACAAGTCAAACTATTTGTTTTTAAAAAGGGGCTTGTAGAATAATTATGTTTAATTAGTTGATTATGTTAATTATGTTGATTTAGCTATTTGTGAGCCGGGATCTATGATACTTTAAATGCCATACTTTGATCTTTGAACAATTTAAAACATCCTGGTAGCTTTTAAATATTTACAAAATTAAAATTTGCGTAAATGGATGAACACACGTAAGCGCGGAGAATATAATTTGATATATTGTTCATACATTGTTGACTCAATACAAGAATTGCATTGAGTATTAAATTCAAAATTTAAACAAATTATTGTGAATTAATGCTATATTTAAACGATGAAAATCTCTTTGAAAGAGTACTTCTTCATAGCAATTGTGTTTTGTTTAATCCAATACAACACTATTAATACGAGTGACATAAACACTAAGGACACTATCAAATCAAATCATTCATTTGGGTATAAGTGGTGGTATTGGGTGGCCATCGCTTGCCTTGTGATCACAATTGGTCTCATAATTGTCTTTATTTGTTGTCCATTGAAATCAGACAAGAGCTCAAATGATGAAGAAATAGACACTAAGTCTTTGGCTAAAAGCAAAACTCCAAACATAGCAGCTCTGGAACACCGGACCTCTTATGACATTAACCTTCAATTCAAGCCCTCTTTGATTCAACAAAACTCCAATACTATTAGAGATGACTTCAATGGTAAAGACAAGTCATCGGAACCCACAGTGCCATCGGCTGAAGTCAAGTCGGATCCGACGACACCTACACTGATATCGCGAGCGGACAAAAGCAAAGACCAGAAAAGTGATGAAAAAGACATTTCCAGTAAAAGTACACCAAATATGACTTAAATTGAAATCATTTTTCTTTTTCTTTCACTTCTTTAAAACTTTTGAATTAAAAATTCATTTCTTTATTTCATTAAATTATTAAAGTATTTAACTTTCAAAACAAATTATATGTCATAAATGGTATCTTTTATATTGATTTGCTGTAAGTGTACAAAAATAAATCAATAAAAATATAATTAATTTTAATATACATTAAATAAAATCAATAAAAAAAGTTTTAATTCAAACATTTTTCAATATTTGTATTGAATATTAAAAAAGTCAATTTGCATACAAATTGTGTGATATATTGTCGGCCGTCGTATTGATTACGCAATGCGTCAAAACGTTTTGCCAAAAAATTTGCACATTTTATGTATTTTTCAATATTTTTGTCGCATTTATTGGCATTTAATTGAGTGTTGAATACAATTGTGATCACAATTAATGGCTAATAATATTGGATTCAGTTCTGCCCTTAAGATCACAGATCTGAACGACTTTATAACACCCTCTCAGGTATTATAGCCATTGTTTATACCATTGTTTACAGCAATCAAAGCAATCAATCATTAGTTGTGACGAGAAATCAAACCATTGTTTAGTTTTTATAACACTTTTTGAGACCAAAAATATGTCCGAAACTAACGATAAGAGCGACAAACAAAAGATCAGAGAATCGGCCGAAGAATCGCTCAAACAATTGACCGAAGAGTTGGAGAGACTGTCTTCGGGCGATGCGATGCCCGGACCCGACGGACAGCCGTTGAGAGACCGCTGGACTGAAGACAATTGGGAGCAGGAGATGGCCAAACATCCCTTCTTCAACACCAATCCTAACGTTGGGTACGAGTCGTCGCCACTCGTGGACGCGTTGAGAGACTTGAAGTACGACAAAGAGTTCAACTCTAAGGAGGAATTGGTTAACAGTTATAGAGAGGACGGGAACGAGAATTTTCGCCGAAAGAAGTATCTCTGGGCCGTCGAGTCCTACTCCGAGGCCATTAAAGTGGACTCAGAAGACAACGCTCTCATGTCTATTGTCTATAATAACCGGTCGTCGGCTCACTATTACCTCCAGAACTATAGGTCTTCAGCGAACGATGCCATCAAAGCCTATGAATTGGATTCAAACAATCAAAAGGCTTTGATTCGCATTGTTTTGTGTTATTTTGAGTTAAAAGAGTACTCAAAGTGTTTAGAGATTTGTCGAAATAATAGTCATTTAAAACTGGATCTGTTGTCCGATTACGAGAAGAAGGCATCGATTGAAGTGAAGATAAAGGAAAGAAATGAGAGAAAAGATAAAACAGAAACTCTTAAACGCAAACAAATTGAAGACAAGATTCAAAGTGTTGTCAACGAGAGAGGCGTCAAATTTATGGGCTCTTTGTTTGATTCAATACATCCGGCGGCCGATGGAAAGCATGTGACGCTCGACGAGTCGGGAGGTCTTGTTTGGCCGGTTCTCCTCCTGTATCCCGAATACGGAGAGTCGGACTTCATTGAAATGTTTGCCGAAAACCACACTTTTATACAACATTTGAATGTTATGTTTGCAGAGTTTGCCGATTGGGACACAAAACGCAAATATAAACCAAACGATATTATAGTTAGTTATAAAAGCGACAAAACTAATGAAATGATAGCGTTTGATACCAATCGTACCCTAAAAGAGATTCTGATAGCTAGTGATTATGTGTTAGAGTCAGCCATTCCTACATTTTGTCTAACTTGTGGTGAGACTGTATTGATTGAATCGATTTAATTAATCTCTATTTTGTTTCATTTGATGGCTTCCAGGCGTGCATTAAACCAATCGAGAAGTCCAAAGAGAAGAAGAATGTGAAGACAACGGTAGAGATATCGTTAGGCGATTGTTTGGCGTGCAGTGGATGTATCACATCCGCCGAAACGGTTCTCATTGAACAACAATCACACGAAGAACTTTATAGAATTATTGATTTCAATAAAGTAATGCATTTTTTACTGGTTTTAATTTCATTCATTATTTGTGTTGTTTTTTCACAACTTCTGAAATAGAAAAACCCGAATAAAAAGCGAACGATTGTTGTGTCGATGTCTTTGCAAAGTATGGCATCGATTGCCGCCAAATATCGCTTATCAGTGGAAAGCGCCGCTCAAAAGATGTCTTCATTCTTCCATAGCCTCGGAGTGGACTATATATTTGACACAAGTCTTGCCCAACACTTCTCTCTCATTGAGTCCCAGAAAGAGTTTATGGATCGGTTCGAGAAAAAGCAATTCCCAGTTCTGTCCTCTGTTTGTCCCGGATTTGTGTGCTATGCGGAGAAAACACACGGAGAGCTCGTTGTGCCGCTTCTCAGTCGCGTAAAGTCTGGTCAACAGATTATGGGACTTCTTGTCCAACAGTTTCTCAAAGATAAAAAGCTGACCACAAGTGATGTCTTTCACATAACACTTATGCCCTGTTATGACAAAAAACTAGAGGCGACCAGAAGTGGGTCTGAATTCTGCGATCTCAGCGATGATCACAAGAAGGAAGTGGACATAGTTTTGACTCCCATTGAACTCGAAGTGATGCTCAATAAGGAGAGTGTCGTTCTCTCCGAACTAAGCGATCGTCCCTTGGATTCAATCACCGAAGACTCTAATGATCCGCACATTACTTCTCATTTGGGTTCTGGTTCTGGAGGTTATGTTGAGAACGTATTCCGATTTATGGCCGCAAAGTATTTCGACAGTTATTACAAAGCGGGCCAACAATTGGAGTATAAAGTGTTGCGGAATAAAGATTTCATTGATTTAACTCTTGAGGACGAGTCCGGAAATAAGTTACTTTCGTTCGCAATAATCAACGGCTTTAGAAATATACAGACATTAGTCCAGCGAATCAAACGCAAGACCTGTCACTACCAATACGTCGAAGTGATGGCCTGTCCTTCTGGTTGTCTCAACGGTGGCGCACAAGTGAGGCCCGAATCGGTGGACGAACCGCTCTTAGAACGTGTCGAAGAGTTATACAAATCGATTCCAATCACATCCCTTCCGGTCGACTCTCAACACAAACTTGTCATTGATTTATACGACAAACACTTTCCGAACGAAGACAACGCCAAACTTTACGCCGTTTTCAAAGCTGTTCCCAAAACTAAGAACTTAATTAATGTCAACTGGTAATCAGTTTTGCCATTTTGATTTGAATTTTATTTTGGAAATACATATTTTTATGTTATATGTATAATTAAAACCTATTACTATGTTATAAATGCTATAAAACTATATAATTCTAATATATTACAAGTAATTATCTTTATTTAACGTGTATTAAAAAGTTGTTTAATAATTATTGAATAAAATTTGTTAACTATTTGTAATTATTTAGTTTTGTTAGTATAAGAACTGTAATAAAAATGATGATAAACTACTGGATCTAAATCTTTATCGACAAACACTGTATTTAGAAAATAAAAATGAATATTAATATTAAAGTTATGGGAATTAAAGTGCGGAGTCCGCAAACTGATCAATATAAAAGATGATGCCCATTTGTGGGATAGCGGGCACTTTGGAATTATTGTTATAAAATGAAAGTACACTCAATACGTAGTCGAGTGATATACTTTATACGCCCTGACTCTTTCGGGTCTGGCCGTAGTGACCACTTTTATCGGTAAAATTTTGAAAATAAAATCTTTTATTTTATAAATAACTATGTCATATTATATATCAATGGAAAGGTATGGATGAGTAGAATCGAAATCCGAAGGAATTCTACAAATCCGACATAATCGGAAAAAGTTATATCAAAATTAAGAAATTTAGTATCAGTTATGTACGTTTTTTTTATAGTGAATAACGTAATTACCGAACATCAGTTATATCAAATTTAATTATGCTTACGATGATAATTAATTTCGTAAATTAAAAAAAATTAAAAAAAATTTATATAAAATTTTAGGCATTTTAACCATTAACATTAAACTTTATCCTTTATAAATAAACTTGTTTAGAGTTGGTTATAGTAGTGCTCTCTGTTATGGCAATACTCCAATACAATTGCTGTCATTTACAATAAGCATAATTTGTCACTACTTTTACAACAAAATGGGTTTTTGTTTCGCTTGAAATTATTTCCTCAATTCGTTATTTTGTTTAAACTTAATGTTTGATTACATCTGTATTTATGACGTTATCATGAATTCGCTGTTTAATAGATACTACTAATTACATGACCAATAAGTTATTTAAAGCAAAATTGATTGAAATGATAAATATTTACAAAAGTTAATGTTTGGCATAAAAGTTGTCAAAACTTCACACTAAAAGTTTCAACAAATTGATCAAGGTAATTCTTGCACTAACACTATTGTAAAATAATATACAGTATATTTAACATTAATACTTTTGAATCCTAATTAAAAGTATTTGTTTAGATAATTAGTATTGTGTGTGTTTTGTTACATCGAGGGAATTGAAAGTTTTAATAAATAAATGAATTCAAACGAATAGGTTATGGCATTAAAGGGAGTGAAAGTGTTAGAGTTGGCCGGTTTAGCTCCGGCGCCCTTTTGCGGTCTCGTTCTCAGCGATTTCGGCGCTCAAGTCCTTCGTATCGATCGGGTATTCAATGATTGTATGAATAGTACAAATGTTTACATTAACGACGTTATGATGTGTTATCAATAGCCGCATAACAGACAACCAGATTGTCTGAAAAGAGGCAAAAAATCCATTTTCATTGACTTAAAGTCAGCGAAAGGCAAAGAGATTGTGAAGCGGTTGAGTGTTGGGGCGGATGTAGTGATCGAGCCGTTTAGGCCCGGAGTGATGGAGTCGTTGAGTTTGGGTCCCAAAGATTTGATGGCAATTAACGATAGGCTTATATACGCGCGGCTCACAGGCTATGGACAGAGCGGTCCACTCGCCAGAGCCGCCGGACATGACATCAACTATTTGGCCATTTCTGGCATTTTATCACGACTGGGAACAACTGACACGCCTTCGCCTCCCATTAACATTATCGGCGATTTTGCAGGTCTTTTACGAGTGAATCAGTTGTTAACCATTCATATAAACAGTATTATTGTTTGATGTGAGAGGCGGTGGACTGATCTGCGCTTTAGGTATTTGTATGGCTCTTCTGGAGAGAACTCGTTCGGGAAGAGGACAAGTGGTCGACTCGAGTATTACCGAAGGAACGGCTTACGTATCGCAATGGATTTGGCACTCCATGTCCGCCGATTCTCCGGCTCGAGACCTGCTTTGGCCTCAACTGTCGAAAAGAGGGGGTAATCTATTGGACGGCTGTTCGCCTTTCTATCGCTGCTATCGAACCAAAGACGACAAATTCATGGCAGTCGGCGCTCTTGAGCCACAGTTTTACGACCGATTGGTGGCAGCGCTTGGATTGGATGCCGACAAATACAACAGATATGATGTTAACGATTGGCAGCGATTGGCGGAAGCGATCGGCGATATATTTGCCACAAAAACTCAGTCCGAATGGACGCAAGTGTTTGAAAAAGTGGACGCTTGCGTCACACCAGTCCTTGACTTGCAATCTGTGCATCAGTTCCCACACAATCGGAACAGAGAGTCGTTCTTCAGCGACGGAACGCCCAAACCATCGCCACTACTGTCGCGAACTCCAGCCGTTCACACAAATCCAACCGGCGATGAGATCGTCACCAAAGAAGTTCTCCAAGAGATGGGTTACTCAGACAATGAGATCAAAGAAATGGCGGCCGAATCGGTGATTGAATTGCCAGAAACTAAATCAAAACTATAAAACTTTATTTTTATAACAACTTATAAATAAATTGTATAACAATTGTTAAGTATTTTCTATCATAATCTGGCGTTAATCTCAAAGAGCCTCCTGTTGTCCGGCAGTGTTTGAATCGTTGAGCTGTTCCTCTTTCTCGGCAAATGTCTTGCATTCGCCGCTCAGGTGTTGAATGTCATGCAGTTTAAGACATTCGGCAGAAACGAGACGTTTATTCTCGTAAAAGAGTTTGAATTCATTGACAGCAGTGTTTGGAGTAATGATATTGGGATTCAAACCATTGAAATCGCATTTAAGTCCACTCTTGAAGTACCGCATAATCTCGCGGATGACTCCGCCGTGCGTTACGATCAGAGCTCTGGAACCGTTTGACACCAATTGAAGCAAATGGTTGTTCAAGAAGTCCACAACTCTGGCGCTCACTTGCGGCAGACTTTCGCCGCCTTCGGGAGTGAATTGAGACAATCGGTCGGCACTGAAGCCGCTCTTCGCGGCCAACGCCTTGAGATCGTCGAGAGTTTTGCCTTCAATGGGACCGAAACTGCGCTCTCGGAGGCGGACATCGGTTTGGATCCGATCGTCACACTTGACTACAGTCTTCGCCGTATCCAACGCTCGGCTCAAATCGCTGGCAAATATCACATCAAACCGATCGCAGTTCAGGTGTTGAGACAATTGTTGCGATTGTTTGATCCCGAGTTCGCTCAGTTTGGTGTCGCTCTGGCCCTGAAGTATCTTCACTCGATTGGCCGTCGTTTGGCCACTGATTGCGTGACACAAATGCAGGGATTAATTGAGTGATTGCGTGACAAGTGATCACATGATTAGCACTTACTGTCGTACAAGAGTTAGTACAAAGGATCCAACCGTTTGTGACATTCGTGAAGAGACGGACCAAATGTGTGACGAAATACTGTCAACGAAAACAATGTGTGAAACAAATTGTTTGCATTGAATGCCAGAAGAAGGCAGTCATCAGTGGATTGAATGCAAAAACTCGACACAACTTTTAATTCTTCGATATTCTTGTGCTTAAAGTTTGATTAAATTTAAGAATTTTTTAATTAAAGTCTCTCTCTCTCTCTCTCTCTCTCTCCCCGTCTCCCTCTCTCTCTCTCTTCCTCTCTCTC